TGAGGTTTTGGGCGAGAAGCAATATCTTGAGCTAACTGGCAGAAAAGGCTGCTTGACAAGAGGGAGTGATTTCATCAGCACTTGATGGGAAACCGAAGTCCATGGTGTAGATTATTCCATCAAATTGTCTGAGCCGGTTAGTAAAGATTTCTCATCTGTGAACATTTCCACAGTGACTGCAAAGGAGCCGCCGGCTATTCTCAGCATTACAAACCCTGAAAACTGAGGAATGAAGCGGTTCTGAATTTGTTTGTGCAGTCAACACTAATGTATTGCTTACTGGCTTCCATGAACCTGCCTGAAATCAGATCCAGGTTATTGCCTTTATCTGGAACAGAGGCACACGTGTCACTTTTTGCAGATTGTGGAAAATCTCATAACAATATCATCCCTCTTCTGTTGTACATGCTTTGATCGGCAGTGAGATAGATAAAAAAGGCATTAAAATTGTCATCATTGGGCTTCTGAGTCAAAGCACATAATATATTGGGCAGATCCCCCATGTCTCAGAAGCATTTGTCTGAAGATGTCTGTAAATACATGCAACACAGAATCTGCTTTATGTTTGACCCCTGCATATAACTGTGGTCTTAGCATCAGTGCTTGGCATCCTGTGACTTGTGGAGGAAGATTATTCATTTAAAGTGTCCTGCACCATAGAAACCTGAACTGAACAACTCTTCTTAATTCAACTTGCATAGTTTCTAGCCAAATGTGTACAACAGAATTGGGGTGAGAGGTGGGGGGATAAATTTAGCATGAAACCAACCCCACACATACCTATTAAGTGACCTTCAGTTGTTCTTCCAGGGGAAGGGACTTGTGGACTGTAGCAAGGCAGAAAATGGGCTTTATCCACCACAGCACATTTCAATGAACACATACACAAACAGAAAGAGAGAGAGATGTTAAAAACCCCCCCAACAAATGGAACATTTTCATCCACAACTTAAAACTTTTCAGTTTTCGACTGAAACTACGGGGGTGTGGGGAGGGGGTGTTGTTTGGTTCTTTTTTTTGCTGAAATGTCAAGATTTCCCATGGAAAGCAAACATTTTCTTGCAGAATATTTCGTTCACTGAAAACCTGTTTCTCCAATGAAGCACAGTTACTCTGGGGAATTTTCCTCCAGTCATAATATACCAGCAGATTTGCCTGATCTGTTCAGGAGGAGGCAATAGCCGGCATAGAAGAGAACAAACTGCCTCCTGGACTCCGGTTTTTCTGGGAGAATATTTCCTCTCCAGAACCTTGAAAGCATCCAACAAATTTTAATGAGTGTTATTTAATTCTGATTTTATTATAGTTAAATCATATTTCTCTGCTGCGCAGCGCCCTGCATTCTTTAGGGTATTTATGAAAGCAATTCATTCTGGTTTTTACTATTCCTTATATTCTGGAATCATAAAGATCAGTGACTGAAAAGAAGTATGAGGTCAGAACCGACTGCCTGTTTCTGCTGTATCATTGCCATGTGAGAATATTGCTATCAGTAAGATCTTCCAAGGAATGATTTTAACATGTCAGCTCAGTTTTCCAGTGGTCATAGAGACTATCCTTTCTTTAACTTGTATTTACGTGTGTCTGCATTTTCTGTACATTTCTTGGGCAAGGGACTATGTCTTTCCATTGTCTTTGTACAGTGTCAGACATGCTGCACCTCCAGAAATAAGAATGGTTTTGAATACCTGGCATCTGCCTCTCCCTTCTGCTTTTTACAAAAGGTAGGATGTTTGCTTGATTCTGGAATAATCTATTCTGGTTTTCAGCAGAAGGTGGGGGAAAAAGAGCCGTAATCTGATTTAAGATCATTTCCTACATAGCCAGGAGAATGTTCTATGTAGACTGCACTCTTACAAATCCCCACATATATTTAACAACAGTGTCCTCTAGTGGAGTTAACCCTAAACTCTTAATCAGTACGAATAAATTAGCCTTGGACAGAGCCAGGCAGGGCTGGATCTAAACTGTGTGAAGACTGAAGCACTGAGATGCTGCTTCCAACCCTGATGCTTCCAGATAGGCAAAATACAGTCCTTCCTTCAATATGGTTATAGCACAGACATCTCTGTGCTGCATTCCTAATCACTCACTTGGAGATTCATGTGGGAAAGTGCTGGACTTGGCTTCTCTTCCCCCTGCAAAAATATGATTAAATAAGAGTGTGAGGTGAGCTTCATGGTCTTCCAGAGTACAGTAATCTCTCCAGCTTCAATTTGGCAACCAGATCTATTTAGCAAAGCACTTAACCAGGTGCCTAGAGTTATGCATGTGTTTAAATCCCATTAAACTCAAATTAACCTAGCCTATGTCCTTTGCTGACTAGGGTGCGCATTGGGCAACTGCATATGCTTAATGCTTTGCTGAATTCAGACCTAAATTTGTGAAACTTGTTCTGAAATTCAAACCAATCTCCACACCACAGCAATTTCAATTCCCCTATATTTTTCCAAGGGTAACTCAGTTTAATATTTTGCATTAACAGCACAGGAAACTTCACCAAAGACTTGGCTGGGTCCCTTGATTTCCCCTCTCTCTGATGCATCTTGCAACAAAATTGCAGATAAGGCATCCAGAACATATGTATCACAGGGCCATTTAATCATAGATGTTAAATAACTTCATCTGGAGAGCTGGAAAAGCTGGGGAGGACAGTGTTTTCCTGAGATCACTCAGCAAACAGTGACATCTGGTGACCCCTAAAC